GGTTTGACAACTGGAAGGCATGGGAGTGTTTCACTTGATGTTGGTGGCGGGTTTCTGGGGCGGGCGGGCTCAGTGGCAGCAGGTGGCAGCATGTCTGTCAGCTGGGCCGGACTTGAAATATAGTGCAGCTTGAACAGCACACTCCAGATACTTGCGGAAGGACTGATAAGCTTGGGAGCATGGTCCCAGCGTCATTGCTGCGCATACACCGTTGCTGGATGCAGTAAAGCTTGGCAAGGTGGGGAGGATGAAGCCGTTGTATATGCTGAGGCGGCCGTTGGGGTTGAGTACTGGGCATACCTTCCTGAAGAAGCCAGGGCGCTGGCTGGATTTGATCTGACTGAAACCTGGTGGAGATGGTTGCGGAACAGCAGTTTGCTGTCAAAGGTCTCACCGAGAAGTGTTCTACGACTTGTGTATCACCGGTGAAGTGACAGTGTGAAAAGGGTCGTTCAAAATGGGACTTCAGTTCAGGTTCCGTATAATCATCCGCCATGAACCGCCATTCGCGGGATGACCAAGTCGGAGATCAAAATGTTGAGTTCCCTCCCAGGAATTCAGACTTCTGTCGTAGAACTAGTCACAACACTGTCCTTCCTCGTATCACAGTCGGCCGATCTGGAGACACGCCTGCTGAACCAGATCAATCTGTTGAATAAGCAAGTGAATGCGCTCAGTGAGGATGTTGTTTCCCTGAAGGAAACCGGTATTGTTTCGTCGAGTGCTTCTCGCCAGGCCCAGTGCCAGCGTACGCGCAAGACATCCCGTAGACATGCAGCTACGGGCACCAATGACCCCAGTATGAGTTATACAACTGAAAACCATAGTGTCAGTGACACTGACGACACTGACAGCAATGATTAGGAAGCAACACAATCTGCAGCAGGTAAAGGCTCCAAGCTCCAGCAGGCCAAGCGCAATGACTGAAGTAGTAAAGCCATCCTGGATGTCATTGCAGATGACAGTTCACAGTTGGTGTCAGCAGAGCCACCCAGGCCAAGGAAAGTCATGTTGTACGTTTGAAATCTGAGCGAGTCCTGCACTGAGGATGTACGGTCACGAAGGATGGGCGGTTGGTAACCTGGCAGAGTGGCATCCACATTCGTACATTTCTCAACGGTAAACGTCGTCTCCCTTACATAGACAATGTCTAGGAGGTGTGTGGTGACTACGTGCTGGAATTCCCCAAGCATAGACAGCAGGCAGAATGCATTAGTTAGAAGTAGGTTACACTTAGGGTCACCCAGTGCTGTCATCATTCTGTATCATTGGTCCTAACTGCGGTGGAATATTGACCATTGCTGCTGCCAAGATTGTCTTGTGATGCTGCATTCTGATGTTGGTCATGGTCTTTAAATTGCCATTTTAAGGTTATGCAAGTTTCAAGGTTCCCTCGAGAAACTTTTTCAAGGGCTTTGCACAACCGATGGACACCCCAAAAGGAACATATAACTGTAAATTTTGGACGAAATCGGAGAGATCGACTTGCACTTGTACTTTGGTATTCTCGGACATGCTCTTAGAAGTAGGGCTGCAAGGAATATTCGAATATTCGATTGATATTCGTTTGGAACCCGATAGAACGTATATTTTCCCCTTTAGAAAATTCGTTCCTTTTGACACGTGCGCACACTCTGCTCTTGTATAGATCTATTTGTAGTAATTCTAGAACGGATGGAGTGATATGTACATGTGTTATGTGTTGAGAAAGGGGACTATGACTCACAAGAGTAGTGGATATGACTCCACTAGACATCTACTTGGTCTAGAACAACCTGAGACTAGCCAAACACTTTCTAAGATTCTTTTGGTATCGAATATTCGATTCATTTTCAAAAAAATGATTTGTTTCATCGACGCTGCATGCATGTCCAATGCGCGTCTACAGTACTTCACACTTTCCTTTTCCCGCATTATCACCTCAGCTATGCCAGTTTTGTATGTGGAAACCCCCTATATAATAGCAGTTTGGTCTATATTTTTAATCATTCAACATCTACCTTCACTGATGAGCTATGTATTAGCGAAACAGCTGTCTGAAGGAGTTTATCAATATCGTCTACGGAAGTGTCCTCGCAATGGTTATGGTTGTGTGCAGGAGGGTCTAGTCGGCTAAAGAGCGCAGTGGAGTGGAGGTGACTCAACATTTTCTTCAATGGCCGAGGGTTCTGTCGCACCCTGTAATAATATGATACGTGCGCCGTTAGCGTCAGAGCAAGAAGAGGGACAAGATGAGTCAAGGGACAATCCGGCGGACTCAATACCATACGACCAACTGTTTGTTTCTACCAGCGTTATTGTACCGTCGAAACAGCTCTGACGACGATATACTGGGTGAATGCCGCAGGGCCTCCCAGCGTGCCAGCCGCAGTGGGTGATGGGCAGATAACAAGGTAGCTTGCGGACAACATCAATGGCATGAAGCCTAGTGACTGCCAACCGTCTTGGCGTGACGGGCGAGCAGTACAGTGTCATGCCCCAGGGGCTGCTGTGGCTGTCGACGTCGGCGAGTTGTGAGGTGCGTTCGCAGGCCTTCATGCCGGCACTCGGACAACTGCAATACTAGTACACAGACTCTCACTAGCTACATAGTACTCTGATTCTGGCACGTTATTTCTGCATTGAATAGTGATTGATTTACCGCGCCGAATTTCCGACGCTGCATGCATGTCCAATGCGCGTCAACAGTACTTCACACTTTCCTTTTCCCGCGTTCTCACCTCAGCTATGCCAGTTTTGTATGTGGAAACCCCCTATGTAATACTGTAAATCAACTAATTTTCCGAACTTAGAAGTTGCGACTTCGGCGGTATTAGTCATGAAGTTGATTGTTCCAACTAGGAACACACGCTTCTTGCCGAACTTGACACTTGACTGACTCACGACTGCCATCCGGAGCACACGAGGAGCACGTCGCACCTTCCACTCGGCAAACCTGCAAGAAAGCACCACTCCCTGCTCAATACACGGTGTTTCGGGGAATTCACCCCTCATCAGTTGAGCTTGAGTAGGCTGAGGAAGATTGTGCCCGAAAAGCACCACTTATATACTGCTCTCCAGGCCAAACCATCACCAGGGATACAAACTTACAGATACGCTTTGTTTCCAGCGCGACAAACACCTCGTGAAGCTCTAGGTAGCAGCGTGAGTCAGAGTCGCTCATGGAGTTGTGATAAACAGACGTTGAGAGCCAGTATAGCTATTCACAACGCTGTCACCTCCAACAACTAGTCGCACGTCCGCGTGAGGGACAACAATACGAACTTAGAAGTTGCGACTTCGGCGGTATTAGTCATGAAGTTGATTGTTCCAACTAGGAACACACGCTTCTTGCCGAACTTGACACTTGACTGACTCACGACTGCCATCTTATCACAACTCCATGAGCGACTCTGACTCACGCTGCTACCTAGAGCTTCACGAGGTGTTTGTCGCGCTGGAAACAAAGCGTATCTGTAAGTTTGTATCCCTGGTGATGGTTTGGCCTGGAGAGCAGTATATAAGTGGTGCTTTTCGGGCACAATCTTCCTCAGCCTACTCAAGCTCAACTGATGAGGGGTGAATTCCCCGAAACACCGTGTATTGAGCAGGGAGTGGTGCTTTCTTGCAGGTTTGCCGAGTGGAAGGTGCGACGTGCTCCTCGTGTGCTCCGGATGGCAGTCGTGAGTCAGTCAAGTGTCAAGTTCGGCAAGAAGCGTGTGTTCCTAGTTGGAACAATCAACTTCATGACTAATACCGCCGAAGTCGCAACTTCTAAGTTCGTATTGTTGTCCCTCACGCGGACGTGCGACTAGTTGTTGGAGGTGACAGCGTTGTGAATAGCTATACTGGCTCTCAACGTCTGTTTATCACAACTCCATGAGCGACTCTGACTCACGCTGCTACCTAGAGCTTCACGAGGTGTTTGTCGCGCTGGAAACAAAGCGTATCTGTAAGTTTGTATCCCTGGTGATGGTTTGGCCTGGAGAGCAGTATATAAGTGGTGCTTTTCGGGCACAATCTTCCTCAGCCTACTCAAGCTCAACTGATGAGGGGTGAATTCCCCGAAACACCAACTAATTTTCGCTGGCGATTTAATTTCGCTGATTTCGCCGCTGGGTACCAACCCGCCAAAGTAAATCGCCGGCCAAAGTTTGTCATGATGCATGGATGCATGCATGTGAGAGCACCAACTACTGATCGATTTCTTTTTTGAAAACCCTAATCGGCCAAAGTTTAATGACGGCCAAAAGTTTCATTTCGAGATCGGCCAAAGTTTCTCACCGGCCAAAATTTGTTGATTTACAGTAGCAGTTTGGTCTATATTTTTAATCATTCAACATCTACCTTCACTGATGAGCTATGTATTAGCGAAACAACTGTCTGAAGGAGTTTATCAATATCGTCTACGGAAGTGTCCTCGCAATGGTTATGGTTGTGTGCAGAAGGGTCTAGTCGGCTAAAGAGCGCAGTGGAGTGGAGGTGACTCAACATTTTCTTCAATGGCCGAGAGCTCTGTCGCACCCTGTGTAGGCATGCAAGAAGCCAGACTAAGCACACGGAAAGAATAGACAACTAGCCATTGTGTCTCTCAGATTCTTCATCTGTAAAACCAGCTCAACAGCAGCATATGGCCAAGAGCATTACGCAATGCACTGTTACCATGACTGTGCACATCAGTACTACAGCCGTGATGTACAATGCATGACTACCACATTACCCCCCTTCCCTAAGAAAAAAAATTGTCTGCAAATGCAAACCTGTTTGAGAAAAAAAAAGGAGAGAAAAAAAGGAAAAAGAAAAAAAGGAGAAAATTGCCGACAAGAAAAGAACAATAAAATTGCAGAGGAAGCAAGCAAAGAATCAATTCAAAGCAACAAATTCGATACACCCTGACACTGACGGGTCAACTCACTGAAGATACATCAAACCTGTACCACGATACAAACAGAACAAACCAAACCAGCAACTAAATCGCAAATTGGCATAGTTATGCAACATGGTCAGTCAAAATGGAGATATTACATCAATGCACCAGCAGCTTTCTCAGTGAGCTTGACAGTGCGGCCAGCGCGAGTTACATAGCCCTCGCGATAGAGCGAGCCAGACTGGGCATCGGGCCGTGGTAGGCGTGATTGACGACGTGATTGGTCACTGGACTCGGGATGAATCTGAGCATCGGCCTCTTTGATCTCAGATTCCACTCCTGCTTCACACGGAGCAGTAGGCGTAGCAGGCGGCACATCTGCATTAGGTGCCGAGGATTTCACTTCTGACTCTGTAGCTGGCTGGGGATCTGGCGTCGGAACTGGCTGGAGATCCAAAGACCGAGAAGAGGTGGCAGTTGATGACGCAGGTGAAGCATGTTCTCGCACATGCTGCCGATTTCGGAGCAGTATCCGCCTGCCATCAGTGACGCCGACTTGTCTGCCATATTGCTCCACAACACGCCAAGGGGTAGTTGGGTCGGAATAGCCATCCTGCAAGACTACCATTGTGCCGGGACGCAGCATAGGCAACTGGCGGACACCGCGGCGACTATCATGCGAGACTGCCATGTCAGCTTTGGCGCGAATCTGATGAGAAGCATTCACAATGCGTGGGGTAGAATGGTGAGGTAGACGGGTGCGAACCATGCGACCGAAGAAAGCCTCATTGGGTGACATGCCCAGCATTCGGTGCACTGAGTTGCGAATATCAAAGAGAACTTGTTGCAAACGGCGTTGCAAAGACAGGGACGGTCGTAGAGATTGAATTCTCTCTTTGACGACTCGATGAAGACGTTCCACCATGCCATTAGATCTGGGGTAGCGTGGGCTTGATCGATTGTGCTGGATACCCAACCGCTGCAGGAACTGGGCCATTTCGGCTGAGGCAAACTGAGGGCCATTGTCGGACACCAACACGCTAGGCAGGCCGAACCTCGCGAACACTTCCATCAGCCGGTCAATGACAGCTGCGGTTGTGGTAGCTGACAAGGGAAGTAGCTCCGGATAGCGTGAACCGTAGTCGACGATGGATAATACTTGTTGACCCTCGATACACACCAGATCAACCGCCAGTTTCTGCCACACTCCTTCAATTTCTGATGGCAGCAGCTCTTGTGCGGGGTTTGTATGACGGCGCCAACACTCTGAACACTGCTCGGCGAACTTGTCGGCATCTTTAGACATGCCGGTCCACCATACTCGTCGTCGCAAAGCATCCTTGAATATGTCCCGACCTGGATGACCTTCATGGGCCAACTGCAGTACGGCATGTCGGAGAGCTTCTGGTATTACACAGCGGTTACCGAATAGCAGGATGCCGTCAATGGTCGTCAGCTGATCTCGGATAAGGTAGTATGGCTCTTCAGCGGGTGTGACTTGGGACCATGATTGCATCAAGACGCGCTGCTGTATGCTGCGCAACAGTGGGTCATCACTAGTCGCCTTGGCGATATCGTCGATATTGACTGGGCACTCTTCCAAGACCAGGCCAATGAACTCAGCCATAGAGCGAGCTTCTTCTGGTGAGGCAGTTGAGTCTTGGACAGGCGCTCTTGACAATGTGTCTTCACACACCATCTGCTTCCCAGGTGCATGTGACAAGGTGTACTGGTATGGCATGAGAGCGACCATCCAGCGCTGCAGCCGTGGTGGTACTTCGTCAAACGGCTTCTGGACGATTGAGATCAGGGGCTTGTGGTCGGTCACAACTTGAACAGATCTCCCCAGGACGTACTGTCGGAATCGAGTCAGAGAGAATACGATACCAAGCATCTCGCGCTCCAACTGGGAATAACGAGATTCAACATCGGACAATGAACGGCTGGCGCAGGTGACAGGTAACCAAGTGCCACTCTTGTCTTGCTGCCACAGAATAGCACCCAGACCAAGTGGAGATGCGTCACATGTTACCTTGGTTGGGACGTCCAAGGATGGCTTAAAGTACGCTAAGCACTCTAGCGACGAGGCCACGGCTGTCTTCGCATCGGTGAACGCGGCCGTCAGCTCATCATCAACGACGAATGGTTGTCGCTGAGCCAGTTTCCTCAGCGGCTCAGTTGTCTGTGAGAGCTGCGGTATGAATTTACCAAGGTACGTCACCATACCAAGGAAACGACGTACATCTGTCAACGTCTGCGGCAGCTGCAACTGTTGGATTGCCAGCAGCTTGTCACCGTCAGGACGCACACCATCCTTGCTCAGCCAGTGTCCCAAGTACTTGATTTCTGACTGGCGTACGCGACACTTCTCCCAGTTTAAGCGCAGGTTGGCTTCGCTCAAACGACGGAGTACGGCAGCCATGCGCTCGTCGTGTTCCTGTCGGTTGCGGGCATAGATGAGAATGTCATCAATATAGACAACGACTCCCGGTAGGCCGGCAAGGATGTCAGACACCACACGTTGAAATATCTCCGGTGCGCAAGCAATGCCAAACGGGAGTCTCTTGAATCTAAAGAGGCCCTTGTGAGTGGCGAAAGTGGTGAACGGACGAGATTCAGCGGCCAAAGGGAGCTGGTGAAAGCCAGATTCAGCATCCAGAACGGAGAACACTGTTGCACCGTCCAGCTGCGCATTGATTTCGTCAACGGTGGGAAGTAGGTGACGCTCCCGGACTACGCTCTTGTTTAGGACGCGGTAGTCCACGCAGAGACGCAAAGCACCGCTTGATTTCCTGACCGGCACCAACGGTGAGACCCACGGAGTAGCTTCTCGCACTGGCTCGATTATGTCATGCTTCACCAGACGATCCAACTCCTTGGCAATTTCATCCCGGATGCTGAAAGCGTGCCGACGGGGTGGGAGTGCTGTTGGAGTGGTGTCAGGGTCCACTGTGATAGAGATGGGCGTCACGTTCACCACATTGACTTCAGCAGAGGTCAGCAACTCCAGTTCGGAGATGACGTCCTGGCCATACAGGATTTGGCGGCCAGACGCGACTGGGACAACAAAACAACTACATACGATGCTGCGTGATCCAACAGAGACCGTCACATCAGCCATACCGAGTGTCGAGATGACGCCGCCATTGTACGCTTTCAAGATTCGATCACTCTTTCGCGTTGGCTGGACAACATCATCGGTTAGCACTGATCGGGTAGCACCGGTATCCAGTAGTCCTTCACAGGGACGGCCGTTGACGATCAGCGTCTTACGAAACAATTGCTGGTGCTGAGAAGTATCCACTGAGAATGCGTAATCACAGAAATAGTTGGCGTCATCCTCCTCCACCTGTTCGGATGTCATGCGCGCATTATCAGACTTGCGCGACAGGCATACTGTTGTAAAGTGGCCGACTTTCGAGCAGTTGCCACAAGTAGCATCCGCTGCAGGGCAATGCTGCTTGCCTCTTGGATGCGAGCGGCCACAGTACTTGCACTTCCCAAACTTCTTGTGCGCAGAGGCAGGCTGGGAGTGTGAAACACGGTGAATGTGAGAGAATGAATTCGACAATGGAGTAGCTGCAGCGTCACCATAAAGCTTGCTGTCCGTGATAGAGGACTCGAGTGCCACAGCTTTGCTCACAGCATTGGCTAGTGTCAACTTTGACTCTTTGAGAAGTTCTTTACGTAGCTCCTGGGATCGCAGGCCCTCGATCAACTGGTCACGGATTTGTCCCTGATCAATGGTGTCCACGGCAGTAGACGCAAATTCACAGCGATCAGCTGCTTCGCGCAGGCGTCCCACAAACCAGTGGCGGATCCAGGGGGGGCCCAGGGGGCCTGGGCCCCCCCTTTGAAAATTTCGACCTTGGTCTAGGATTACAGTAGACTGTAGAATGAGCGCTCGAAATTACTTGGCGTGTCAAGTGGGTCACGCGTGCTGGGTACTTTTATACGTGTCCGATCACTCCGGTACATGGTGTCACGCACCGAGCATGAGTCTGTACTAGTCAGCGCGCTGTGTACCGGTGTACAACTACTGTACGCACTGCGACCTGAGGACACGGCCGCACTTCAAACATGTGAAAAACGTGCCAAAAATGCAGGGCCTGGTACATAGTGCAGCGATCGCGTTGGGCTGAAGTCCTGTTTGGTGCACGGTGCTGTCGACTTCGTCCTTCCTTTTTTCTTTTTCAATTGTCAGAAACTACAAGTATACGCTCTCTAGCTCTCTACTTCGCTTGTAGCCAACGGGTTACCTTCAGATATGAGATGAAGAGGAAAGGGTCTGACATCAGGTCGTTCTTCAGTGGACCGGTAGATAAGAGAGCTCGCGTTGGAGAGCCGTCCAAAGGTCCGTCGCGGCCGCTGTCGAGTGGAAATGTTCCAGTGCAGTTTGAAAATGTCGTGAGAATGGAATAAAACTAGAAACCGGCGGATTCTGCTCGAAAAGGTGGCATATTCTGCTCGAAAAGCAGTGAAATTGGCAGAATCATACAAACCTTATGGCGGGCAATTCCTCGAATTCTGCTCCATACTATAGTATTTTTATCCACATACCAAACATCCATAAAACTTACCAGAAAAAGTACCGAATTCTGTCAATTTTTCTGCCGGCAGAATCCGCCGGACCCTAAAAACAACTGCTCTTCACAGCTTCAGGACTTTGTTGTTGTTGTATTTGTTGTTTTGTTTTGGGGGGGGGGGGGGGCGGATACCTTGGGCCCCCTCTTCGGCCAAGTCCTGGATCCGCCACTGCAAACGATGTGACAGACTCACCCTCATTCTGGCGAAGCTGACGGAACCGGTGGCGCTCCGACGTTGTGTTTGTGGCAGGACGAAAATGAGCAATCACAGCATCCGTCAGAGCTTTGTACTCACATCCGGCACTGCCATCGGCCTGAGCTGGTGGAGTAGGAACTACGATTCCTTTAACAATACGCCTGACAGCGAGGCCTGCAAGGTTCAGAAACAGCCTCTTCTTATCAGCTGCCGTCGTAACTCCACAAATTTTCAGATAATCATCAACGTCCTCGAGCCACAATTCGAAATCGGCTCCGATGTTGCTGGAAAAGTCAGGTACAAATTCCTTCGGCGCTCTGCCTTTGGGAGCGGACATGGCGACAAATCCGTGCCTGTTCACTGCGCCAATGTAGGCATGCAAGAAGCCAGACTAAGCACACGGAAAGAATAGACAACTAGCCATTGTGTCTCTCAGATTCTTCATCTGTAAAACCAGCTCAACAGCAGCATATGGCCAAGAGCATTACGCAATGCACTGTTACCATGACTGTGCACATCAGTACTACAGCCGTGATGTACAATGCATGACTACCACACCCTGTAATAATATTTGTTTCATCCTTAGAAATAATTGAGCATTCTGAGAGAATATTCGTATTTCGTTCGTTACAAATGAGTATTCGTTCGTTCGTGGAATAGAATATTCGTTGCAGCCCTACTTAGAAGTATAAAAATAGTGTTGTAAAGTTTTAGTTGCGGCTGCATGCAAGTCTAAGTTTTGTACGTAACGGTCTTGATGAAATACTTTACGAAGGATTCTGCGGTGAAGTACTTCTATCTTCTCAAATCGACTTATGTTAGTGGCGAACCAAGCAGGGAAGACATACAAGAGGAGAAAATGTATGGTTTTTGAAATAATGTACCAAAATAGTGTTTGGGGCAAACGGAAGAAGCGGCTTGTCATTAAACCAACCGAGTTGCAGAATTCATTATCTTCATTGTCCTAGCGAAAACGTTTTAAACTTTTTCAACTATTTCAATTAATCTCTTGCATGCATTTTAGGGGAATTCAATGAACCATCAAATCCACTTGGTGGCGCATATTCGACAATCAATGTCACAATTCACGGTGGTAATATTGTTATACAGTGCCAGCCGTCTTTTTACCGAAACATCTATGCCATCAATTCAACTGCACAGTGTTTATCCTATGGAAACTGGACAACACTACGTGCTACACCATGCACTCGTGAGTTTTCAATGTTTGCTGAAATACAATTTTCTAAGTGTTTTTTCAGGCACTGTTGAGATTGACATACACAACTATTGAAAAGATTGTCAAGTCGAGGAGGCGCTGACCTTCAGCCAACCAACCTGTCCCATAGTTGCAAGACCAACAAGTGCCAAATAATGAGTGAGACGAATAAGCATTGTCAGGCCTTGCCAAGTATCTGCTTGTGGGTCTTTACAATAATGGCTATTTTTGGAATAGCGAAATTTTGTTCAAATGGATTATATCTGACCTTCCAACGGCTGCAATCTGCATGCTATTTTTGGAGCCAGTTCACCATCGCCCAAGCATTGAGTTGCACGACTTGAGGGTATCCCAGCATACCGCATAACAAACTCGGGACAGGGTAGCTGGCTTCCTAGAGAGCTATTGCCCGGTGACCAGCTCTCTGAACGCATTGCCATTCGCGCATATGCCGTCAGGTTGCAGGTCACCACTAACAGGATATAATAGCCTTGAAACCAGAACAACAACGCTACTGACAATCTGGACGAGAATATCAGGCCACTGACAGGCCTAATTCCGATTTTGCAGCGGGTTCCACTTAAGAGAGCATGTCTGAGAAAACCAGAACATATGTGCAAGTCGATCTCTCAGATTTCGCTCAAATTTTGCAGGTAGGTTTGCTTTGGGGTGTAGATCGACATTCCAAAGCCCGCACAAAATCTTTTGAAGGGAACCATGAAATTGGCATACCCCTCAATATTGGCCCAATATTGGCACGATTTATGGGTCTACAAACGAGCCACGGCACAGCGTACAAGAACAAGCTACGAACAAAACTCCATCAAGTCAACATTACTTCACCTTAGAAGAGTTCTTGGGGCAGCACCACTTAGCCACGCCAGCATCCCAGAAGACGAGGGCAATCATCCCTTGACGCCACAAATGATCGTCTTGAAAATAGCCAAATTACAAGCGCTGATAAAACTGCGAGCTACGTCCTCAATTAGCAAACACTATACACCGGCAGATAGTAGAACACCTCTTCTAGCACTGAGGACATGTCCCCCATCATCCTTTTTGGGTTTTCTTGCAATAAACAATTTTGAATTTTTCCACTCGACCATTCTGAAATACGTCCAAACTCATACCTTCGCAGGAAAGCTCGCCCCTCCGCGACGTCTAGTCGCCAATTTCTACTCCAACACCACTCCCAACGCTGCAGAACAAAGAGTATTGTTGACTCTGACAAGGAAAAGCAGCGGTGATCACTTGTCACTCGAAACGACAAGCTTCTCCTTGCGCCACCAACATTTTTCGGTGCAACAGTTGATGCAAAAGTGACTGAATTTTTGCGTGTAGTTTTTGGATTTTACTGCAAGAGGAATGAAGAAATCACGTGCATCGTGACGTAGGATAATGCTTTCTGGTGCACGACACAATGCACATGATCACGATCGTTCCCGAGGCGCTATTCGAAACGGACCATGAGGGAGGAGGTAAGATGCATTATATGTCTTGCATGCTCTGCTCAGAACATTCAGAAACTATCGTTATAGCACTAGCAGTATTGCATTGGCTAGGAATTCTTTGAGATATTTCCTCTTGCAGTAAGAACAGGGATGCATTTTTTCACACTAACCTCGCTCATCCCGAACATGGTTCAACAGGAACTACGGCTAGTTTACATGCTGATGATCCACGTAGATCTGCAACAGCAAGGAATGACCGTTGTCCATGCCATCAAGGTCGCTTGGAGTTGACCAGCGCGCGGCCTACACTGGTTGCATGGGGTATGTGGCGCGCCCACATGGCAGATTTCTTACGTCATGAACAACGTGATTTGACCCTACTCGCCCTAGTCTGTGTGCTGCATGTTGAGGGAAAGTCCCGGCTGGAAGGCCTACAACACGACATGCGTGCTCTTGAGCTGGACATCAAGATGCACTTGATCCGATCTTGATCAACGGGTGATCCATGTAAGTGCAGGTGCGCTTGATCAAGGTGACTCGGAACAACTGCTGAACCGTGATCTACGAGACCTGGCATCCTTGTGTCACGAGGCACGTGATTTCATCATTCCTCTTGCAGTAAAATCCAAAAACTACACGCAAAATTTCAGTCACTTTTGCATCAACTGTTGCACCGAAAAATGTTGGTGGCGCAAGGAGAAGCTTGTCGTTTGGAGTGACAAGTGATCACCGCTGCTTTTCCTTGTCAGAGTCAACAATACTCTTTGTTCTGCAGCGTTGGGAGTGGTGTTGGAGTAGAAATTGGCGACTAGACGTCGCGGAGGGGCGAGCTTTCCTGCGAAGGTATGAGTTTGGACGTATTTCAGAATGGTCGAGTGGAAAAATTCAAAATTGTTTATTTCAAGAAAACCCAAAAAGGATGATGGGGGACATGTCCTCAGTGCTAGAAGAGGTGTTCTACTATCTGCCGGTGTTTAGTGTTTGCTAATTGAGGACGTAGCTCGCTGTTTTATCAGCGCTTGTAATTTGGCTATTTTCAAGACGATCATTTGTGGCGTCAAGGGATGATTGCCCTCGTCTTCTGGGATGCTGGCGTGGCTAAGTGGTGCTGCCCCAAGAACTCTTCTAAGGTGAGGTAATGTTGGCTTGATGGAGTTTTGTTCGTAGCTTGTTCTTGTACGCTGTGCCGTGGCTCGTTTGTAGACCCATAAATCGTGCCAATATTGGGCCAATATTGAGGGGTATGCCAATGTCATGGTTCCCTTCAAAAGATTTTGCGCGGGCTTTGGAATGTCGATCTACACCCCAACGCAAACCTACCTGCAAAATTTGAGCGAAATCTGAGAGATTGACTTGCACATATGTTCTGGTTTTCTCAGACATGCTCTCTTAACTACTGTTGTCGACACGCACATGACGCGAGAATCGAACAAGGAGTGCGGAGAAAACACAAACGCAAGACATGAGAATTGAAAATCGTGCATCAATATGATGAGAATGATAGCAGGGAGGATGAGAGGGAAGCAACCATGTCTGTGGATGTCGATCACATCTGCCACGATCTTGATTGCTTCTGTGGTCTGGGCACAGCTGTCAAAGTAGTCATCGACATAGTGATGCTCGACAATACCCTGTAAAGGCCTCTTTTACGGGCAAACAGAATACAATTAGTAGTAGTAGTAGTAGTAGTAGTAGTAGTAGTAGTAGTAGTAGTAGTAGTAGTAGTAGTAGTAGTAGTAGTAGTAGTAGTAGTAGTTTTTAATATTTTACTAGGGGAATCCCAACAGGCTACTGCTTTTTTACTGGGAACCCTAGGTGAAGTTTAACCATATTAATGAACAGAGCAAGAGTGTGGGCCTGTCGACAGTCAGCTGGAAGAGAGTTCCACCTGCCTACCGCCAGAAAAGAAATAGAGCGCATGCCATACTGCGTATAAACGAGTGGGAGAACTAAGGCTCTTTGTTCTCTCGGTTTTCGATGCAGCATCGAAAACCAATTGTAGTTTTTCCGGCTTGTAGGGGTTGTTGACCCCAAAGTGCGGGAGATACCAAGTGGTGTTGGAGTCGATCGCTGGCTAATGAGGAGATAGGATCTCCGCGTAGCGGTTGTCGACATACTCATCAATCTTCTCGTCGTACTTCGCTAGCAGTGATGGGTTGCGGTCATGCTTGCGCTCGAGCCTGCGGAGTCGATTGAACGCGTTGCCCCATCTACGCGGCAGCACTGGGTCGTCCTTGTGCCACAGGAGCCCCATCTCCCACATGGTCTCGTCCAACCGCTGCGTTTTCGCCTGCAGCAGCTCAAATGCCCGCAGCTCTTCACGGTTGTGGGCTGTAGCGTGCTGCACCTTGACTCCGAAGTCGTCAGACCTATACGACGATTTCACGAGCTGGTGCAGTTCTTCGTCCTCGTTAGAGATAGTTTGCAGAACGACGTCATCCACTTTGCCCTGACGATGAGATGACCGACCGTGCACGACTCACCCATGCTTAGTTCGTGAGGCGATCGGCTTGTTGTGCGCGCCATCGATGACCTCTAGTCCGACAGTCAGGCTGACATTGTCCTGGCCGATCAGGAACTGGGGCTTGTTGTTTGCGAGTGTGTGGACCTGCACGTCTTTCAAATGCGGCAATGGCTTCAGTGCCTTTGCAGATGTCACCGGCTGACACG